ATATATATGTAATAACCACCAAGTGACATTTCAAGCGACATTTCAAGCGACAAGCTCTTCTTCAAACAAAGAATATAATACAGACACACCCTGACATACATACTAAAAAAGGTCACCGGACAGAGCACCTGACAGGTCAACTGACCATTATGTAGTGTGCAGATGTTCTTCTGTGCAGCACCTAGTATTTATCTTTTGGATGCATGTGTTTTTGTAAACATATTTTGGATAAATGAGAAAATATACTTCATGTCATTTTATCTCTTTTTATACAGCTCTGCCCATGTTTATTGTTCTCAGAGAGGGCTCACAGCCAAACAGAAGTAGAAGTACTAGTACTTGCCCCATGACACCTCTATCATGTCCCCTCTTCTGGCAAGCAGACAATGTAAATCCTACATAGGTACTAAATCCTGACAGAAATATAAAAATATCATTATTTTCAGCTCTTCTAAAAGAGAGAAAGAACCTCAGTAAACCACATAGAGAGCAGGACAAAGCAAAAGGATATCAAAAGCATTTGAGTATATACCTTGAATATTGGTTTGGGTAACCATGTGGGATATTAGAACCCTTATAGGCACAATATGGGAGAGATGCAGAAAGCCATCAACCCATCTTGTGAAAATTAGCAGAAAAATAGCAGTATTAACAATGTGTGCTGTATGTACAGTTAATTAACAGATAATAGCGTAATGATTCGCCACAATTCCATTTGATGAATGACTGCTTGTTTGGTGTAATTATATAATTGAATACTAATAGTGAGCAGGCACTATTTTCAAGGAGTTTGTCTTGGCTGTAGATGTTCCTCACACGCTTACAGTCGTGTTGTAAAGCTTAGTGTTAAGGCTGTAGCACCTGAATTCTTTACTCTAGCAATGTAGCAAACGATATTTAATACTCCATCAGCCAAGATCCTTTCCTCTTTGCTGTTTACATCTGCGCTGAAATTGTATCCATATTATCAGATTACCTCTGGAAAACACTGTTAACACTAAAGGCAGGCTTATTCATACCTTCAGGCCGTTTTGCACCAGCTTGTGTATGTCCAGGAAGGGCTCCTTGATTAGCTCGAGGTCATGGTTGAGTATCCTGACAATTCCCTCTCTCTCCAGGACAAAGAGCCGCTGGGATCCATCCCCACAGTGCACCACGGCCACCGGCTGCCTCAGACCACTCAACACCTCCTGGGCACAGTAGCAGTTGTGTTTGTGTTTCCTGGGTAACAAGGGAGACAAAAGGTCAGAGACCGACGGTGGCCGTGAATAATCCAATTATGAGGTATAAGAGGCATGATAGAAGCTCAAGCAGTAATATTTGGAAGGAAGCAAACAATATTCAGCTGTAAGATATCATTTTGCTGTCTAGGACTGCAAGTACTTGATATTTGTCTCAACTGACAAAACTAGCAGGGGAGCTCTTTTTCATTCTTATACCATTGGTTTAGAAGTCTGATGTTGCATTTCGCAAAGGCTCAGTGATGATGTTCCTCACCTTTGCTGGTTTACTAATTTGGTGACTTGCCGTTTGCCAAGGTGGGAACATTGTTAACCAGAAAAATGCAAGATTTAAATGCAAAATAAAATTCCAGTTCATCATCATGTCTGTTATAATACAACTGAAACTTATTTCTCCTCTCTAGATCACTGAACACCGTTCCCACCAATAGTCTCCCTCCGTCTTTTAATCCAGCGCAGGAGGTTCGTTCTGTCCCTCCATTGTACCCCCTCCACTGTGCAGGTACCCGACTAAACTGTGGAGACGGGGAAAAGAACCCCTGTTGCTTTCCCTCCTGTGTAGATGGTCACTTTTGGTGCAGAGAACACAGATTTTAAAAGGGGATAGGAGAAGCTAATGTGACTGGCCACAATTGATACCAGCCCATAACCAACTAACACACTGCTGGTAATGCATACTGGTAGATTATTTCTTGTCCTATCCTGTTTTCTATGTGCTCTGATTAGCTACGTATCACCAGCCATGAAGATACCAAAAAGTGCATCAGCACTCTCTCTGTGGATTGCATGAGGACCACATGAGCACTTGAAATCCGTGTCTCAATTTCCTAAAAGCAAAGGCCAAAATGCAAGCCCATAACTTTGATTTCATTTAGACCCTTTCTTCCAGCCTCTAATGTCAGAAAGTCCTGCTCATTTACCCGAGTAGACCTCTCAGAGGATAAGGCGCAGATGTGACAAATGACCCCTTGACTCTAACTTTTGGAAGTTATTTGACTGAATGTTGGTCGTTGCTATTCAGGTGCACATACTGCTTGGCCCTCTTGCCTTGGGGAACATAGAGATGAAAGGCATCCCCCCATGGACAAAAGGGCAAAGCCCTCTATGATGCACAGACCTTTGCTGTGAGAGAGGCAACCAGAATGACGCAGGATAAGCATTTTCATTATGTGAGCAAAGCTGAGCAAATGCAGTCTGGACAAACTTTAGGATTAGAGAGGAGATGGCATAGCATTTCTGCCTGAGAGTATGGACCATGTCAAAGTGGACCAGTGAAACCAGAACATGTTTCTATAAAAATATATAAAAATCACGGCTGAATGTCAGTGTCAGTACAAAGTACTACTGAAGCCAGAAAGTTCACTTGGCTGAAACACATTGAGGAACTAGCCAAAGCTCATTCTAAATAATAATATGTTCATCTTCCATTGTGTAACTCAACCCTCAAATGGAATAAAAGCCAGGCTACAAACCTTTTCTCCTCTTCCAAGTAGTTAGAATCTTGCCCTTGCGGTTGCTTTCGTTGAAAATCTGGAAAGCACAGACTGGCATCTCTCCTCCCATAGTATTGGCAGAACTCATCTACATCGGCCTGGAACAGTTCTAGCAAACACAACAGATAAAGACATAGACAGAGGGTCTTACACTTACTGTAGATACTGCATGGTTAAATGACTTCATGCACAGGGCTAATACAAAACACCTAAACCGGGAAAATACAATTCATTTTCTTTTAACAGTGTTTCAATGGTACACATTTCTGTAGTTGTATGTGGCTGTACAATAACTGTGTGCATGAGTTTGTGCAAGAGAGGACAGAAGAGTTAGAGAGAACAAATGTGATGTGCTTGTGTGTTTGGGAGGGTTGGAGTTACGCTCGATGAGCCAAACCAAATTCTGGCTAGACGAGGCCCGAAATGAACAAGTGAAAGGAAAATGGGCCAAACCAAATGCATCGCAGATTAGAAAGGGCCCTGCTGTGAACTATGCCTCCTCCAGAGAGCATAAAGATTGCATTTTCAATATAAGTTTGCACTGTCAGTATTTTGATTATGCTTTTGGACTAGTCCTAATGGATTCCTATGAAAGAACTCTGACACTGGCTTTTCTTCGAAGTCTATCCAGCAACATAGTGATGCTTTGCTTGTCTATTTTACTTTCCATATACATTCTTAACCAGAAGACACAATTAAATGCACAGAAAAAAAAATCCAGTTTATTGTCGTGACTGATTCCTACCAGCACTTCTTCAATGGAACATGTGTGTTATGTGAAGGCTTTTTGTTGTATACCTCTCTCTGCAGCCATCTGAAGCCAACAAATATACAGTGATTTTCATCTGCAGTCTCAAATCTGACTGACCTTTCGAGGAATAAAGTCATATTCCCCTCATCCAGCAGCTCCAAAGACTCTGCTTGCACAGCCTTAGCACACCCCGACATAAACTTAATCAAACTATCAACAAAAATAGAACCAAATTGAAAACACTGATACAGAAAGACTGACAAACACTCATATTTACTTGAAGACATCAGACTGTTCAATTTGTTGTCATTATATATCATAATAGTTCACCGTATTTGGCTATTTGTAGGACCTTTGAATTAGCAAATTCTCTCTGCACACACAAGTTGAGGGACAAACCGTGTCACAGCTCTTACTATCACCTGTCAAAATCAGCATGTCAAAAGGCCACTTCAGTGTTGCCATCCCTAGATGTTCTTCAGTGAATAAGTCCAGACCACTTGTTCTTTCCTTCATACAGGTCTGACTGGTTTGCATTACTGAGCAACACATGGGCACAGCACACAAAATTAAATAGTCAACCTGTTAAATATGGCATGTAATTTGGAATAAACAAAAAAATGTTTTCAGGGTGAGAGATTGCATTGCCAAACGAAGACGTGATGTTTCCAAATGGTTCTTGAGTTTTGTTTTTCCTTCTCTGAATCAAGGCGGTCTAACGATAGAGGGTGTCATAAACTCTACAGATGGGGCTGCATAGAATTGACTCGACTTGGCTTTCTGATTGTATTCTACTAAGTTAGCATGTGAATTCTAAGTACAACTGCCATCTCATCATTCCACATTTCTCTTTGGCCTGCAGGTTTACCTAAAATGTTTCAGTGCCAGGGCCAAAAGTGATCTGCGTAAACATAGCAGTCACACGCAGCTACGCCTCCAGCCTGTGCAGTCACAACACTATTCCCGGCAAAAAGCAAAGTGTGCAGTGGGTCTCGGAGGCCCTTTGCGACCTAAAAACAATCTTGGCAATATTGTTTCCTCTAGTCAATCCCTCAGAGGAGAGAGGAGAGCAAATACACCAGTGATAAAAACACAAACAGGACACTCTGTCCCTCCTTTCATCTCCCTCTCCTGCCACACACCGACCACAAGAACTGACCGCACCAAATACTGGAGGTGATAGGATATCCCCTCAAACATCTAAACACAACATGAAGATCAAACACACACACACACACACACACACACACACACACACACACACACACACAGAGCTCTCTGGCTATACCACCCACTCACTTGTGTCTGCAGTTATCTTAAGCATGCTGGTTGGGGACCTTGGGTGCAGGATGGGGGGGGGGGGGGGGTGGGGAGTGAGGAGGGGAGGAAGATATGAGAGAAGAGGAGTTTGGGGAAGGTTGGAGGCCTCCAGGCAGAAGGGAAAGTCAAGGCAGTAAATGTCTTTATGGAGAAATGGGGGCTAAGTACATGCCCTAATCAAGGGCTGGTAGGACGTTTCATGGGAGCAGGACGACAGTTATGGATGCAGTAAAAGGCTACCATTTCATTTTAATTCCTTTGGCCAGTGCTTTTGAATTAGAAAAAGTTAAGGACATAATATTGTCTGTTCATGTTTGTGTAAAGGATTATCTTATCTTATCTTATCTTCACTGTTAACTGCCTCCCATGATAAGATTCAGGTCCACAAATATTTGTATCAAACATTCTAAAATGCCAACACAGTTGTTATTGTTTATGCAAACAACACTTCTAACTCTATGGAGAGATTTATCTCTGCAATAGGATTCAATCTCGTTAATCAATTTATAATACATTTTGTAGGGTGTGCATTATTTAAGTCATCCTGTATTTATGCATGTTCCACCTCAATTGTACAGTGTGCACAGAAAAAAAAGAGCATGAACCAAGTAAAAGAGAAGAGGAAGAGCATGCAAAAGAAAAAAAGACAGGAGGGAAAGAGCAAAGAAGTGGGGAGTGAAAGAGAGAGAGAGAAAGAGAAAGAGAGAGACAGAACTCTGTCCATATTCCCGGCTCCCCAGCGCTAAAGTTATACTTCCATCTGGTATACTTCCAAGGCAACCTGGGTGGCCCACCCAAAGTACTTGACATCTTGATGCACTTCAGCAGTTTTACATACACACAACCTTTGTAGAAAAATAAATGTGTCATTCGTCACCACATATGCTGATCTGTGGAGGGCTGGATTTGAAGGGGGTACGACGGTGAACAGAGGGAGAGGGGGGGGGGATTCGATTCCTCTCTTAAGCTTTTTTGGTTTAACTCGCTGAGCCCAAATGTCTGTCAGCTCCTGACCAAGTAATGCGAGTCAACTCAAAGTCTTCTTCTTCTTTCCTCTCTCTAGGCTCTGTGGAGTCCCACTCGCCAACCTCAATTGTAGTTCAACAGCAGTGCAAGATATGCGAGCAGGCCATTAGATGCAGACTCAGATGGACTCAGATGGAATGTATGTGTTTGATATTCGACTTGAGCCGAAGCATACCATGTGGGTGGGTTGCGGACAAGTGTGTTTGAAACTGTTCTCTGTTTGCAAATCTCAGCAGATCTAATCAGTTTGTGGAGACAGAGATTGGAAGAAGACTTTGCTGGAGGAGAAAAGACAGTCAGAAAGTGTTTGATCATGTTTGGTATGCACTGTGAAGGCACAGGTACCTCTGATCTTGCATCTCTCCAAAGGAAGTTCTGAAGACCAAATGCTTTCAAAGGGCAAAGGGGTTCCTATCATTTAGCAGTATCCACAAGGAAATCGGTTGCATCAATGGGTTTTTTCCCTGTTCTGTGGATTCTGACATCTCCTAGTAGAGCTCATAGTCTGTAGACCTCTCTATGTTTAGATTCATGTGAACTTATTAGTTAAATGAAAACTTACTAGTGGCAGAGCATGAGCCACAGGTTTTTAAGTGAGGTCTATGTCTGAGGAAGGCAAGGTGCTGAGCAGTCATGTCTAGACCACAGCTAGGGTGCTTATGCTTCCCGAATAGAGAATCAACCCCAGGAGTTGAGTCTGGTGAGCAGTATCCAGGAACAGGTTATAAAATAGTTTATTTAGCTCCAGTCCAGTTTTCTGGTACACTGGTCAGGCTGGGTCAGCTTTTGTTAGTGCATGTTTTCACACCCACCCTTTGCAAATCTAATATTTTCCATTCACATGACAGGAAATGCCTCAAATCGGTGAACTGTAACTACATTCAAGGTCTTCAAAAAAAAGTCACATGTTTGCATATTTATGCTGATTTAAATAAACTTGCGTGATCCAAACAAACCAAACAGAGACAGGAGAACAAAACTTTCTGCACCTGGTGCCATAAATACAGCTATAGACTGAACATTGCGTCATAAAAAAGCTAAAATATTGCAAGACCAAATGTGCTACGTCAGACTGCAGACGAATCAGCATACGGGTGTTGTGTCTATATAGGCAAGTCATTTTACTGATGCATTAAAGTGCAACAGTAGAGCAAGGAGCGAGGCAGCGAGCAAGCAAACGGGTGAGACAAGCTCAGCAACAAATGGAGGTGAGGTCAGATGAGGTAAGAGCTGGATAAATAAATATTCACAGACCAGACTACTGACGCACCACTTTTTTTGCATAAGTCCAAAAATCAGCCAGTTCTCCATGTGCAGGCTGAGTCTCAATGACAAATGAGGCCTGCCGTGAATTTTAAGTCATCACAATCAGAAGTGTCAGTTTCATTTCAAATGCATGGGAGACCGAAATGAGCAAGTATAACGTATGCCTACTTACACTTACTCTATGTGTGTATGTTTGCTTGCGTATCACCAGGTAACCACACAGGGGCTATAATTCAAGTCACATTCATGGTCATTATTATCTGTATAATTACCTGGTATGTGCCCCCTGCAGGTGTAGTAGAACTCACGGCAGAAGTCCTGGCAGAGCCGAGGCAGGTCTGGCTCCCTGTGTGGCATCTTATCCATGTCCAAGGAGTGGAACAACACCTGGGCATTGGGGGAGCAGCGAGCACACTTGATCTCCTCCAGGAGACGTCCACATTCGGTGTTGTTGGTGGAGAAAATCTGGAGACCACACGCAACAAGGACCAACGCCTGATTAAAATGTTCGGCTATTAACTTTTACTTCTTGAATTCAGAATGCGGGGTGTGTTTTCAAATCGACGTAATCATAAATTCCTGGCAACTCGAGACAGAGATTCTGAAAACTGTAACTAGACATGAAGTGAAGTGTTTCCAAATGACTCCTGTGAGTCCAAATTACATTTTAAATGGAAATATTAGCCCTTAAAAGAATTCACCTACATTTTTCAATGTGCATCTATATATCAGTCATAATGTGTAAAATCTCCCCCTAGTTACCACAGAGAAAGGCAATGATCTCTACTAAACACAAATACTCCAAAGTTACAACAACACATCCAGAAAACAACCGTGTGTCATATCTTTCTCCCATATGACACGTGCAAAGTGAGATACTCTCGTTGGCAACCAGGTGTAAGGCAACACTAGATGTAATAAACCCATTCCCTCACATGCCACATCACATGTTAAACATCAATGTCATCATGTAGTGTCATCACATTCTACACGATCCTCAGATTTGACATGTGGTTAGTTATTGTTTGGGTTGATATTGTGCTGAACAGATTATTTTTGCATAGAAATGTTCTTTTTTTTTCCTTGCATCATTTGATGAATGAAGAATGAGGAGGGAGACAGTCACTTGCGATGGTGTGAAAGTCTGCAGCCTCTCTACAGTACCACCATCTGCATGAACGTTCACACCATTCACACTGCAAAGACACTCCAGATTCCCACTGGTAGTAGTGGTATAGCCTCTTACCGCATTCTCACACTGAAGCATTTCTTCAGAGATTTTACAATCTCGATCTACACAAACTGAATCATAACAGAGCCCTGTACACTGATTTTCCCATTTCTATCCTAACAACATTTTCTGTATTATGCAATTCTACATCCTTTGATACCAATTTGTTAAACATTGAGGTTGGAACACCCTGTCTGTATGGAGCAATAAACAAAGAAATAATCTCAATCACTGCCTACTTACTGCCTACTAAGTTCATAAACAGTTAAAGTCAAATTACAATTCCCATGTCTGACAGATTGCGGGCATGAAATGAATGACGCCAAATTAAGAGCCTAAAAGACTGACTTGGGGTCATTACGCAAAGGTACACAAAGAGTTAATCCAAAATAAATTAGCAGGATTATTTACATAACAAATTAGCTGTAATAAAACACAATGTAATCTGTTTTAGGTCAAGAGCAGCACTGCTTGGGCAGCCAGGCAGGACAGGCTGGTAGTGCTTTGCTCTGTGTGAGGTCCATGTGTAAACACCAATTTAGAGATAGACCGGCACATCATTCCCACTCTGGTATCAACAAATTAGCAGTCTGTCGAAGTCAATTAGACCAGCGGACCCAAGGCCAACATATGGACGCCTTACACTTCGCTCGGACAGCAAAACAAACTGCAACTGGAGAAAAGATTTTCTGTTTAGCAGATATTCAGAGCCGAGTTTACCCAACAGGTAGCAGAACATCTGGCAAAAAAACTTGAGGGTCTACCTGACATAAACATACAATCTCTAATCACAAAATGAAGTATGACGGAATTGAAGACAGAAAAGAAATTCTGGCCTAACTGAGATTCCATGGTTACACTCAGATCTGAATCCCACTTTTGTTCTATATTTTATCTAATTGTTGATGTTTTTCCTAAAAAAAAAAAAAAAAAAGGGAGCTCCAGGCTGGCTATGTGTGTTGTGGTCCTCTGTCAAAACCCATGCCATGCAGTGTCGCGGGGCATGCCTGCCCTCCTGCTCTAAATTGCCCATTGATTCTGTGTGCCATGGGCTGGCACAAGGTCCATGGAGAGTATCATTTGTGTGCTCTCAGCCATGCCCTGTGTCCATATGTTGCTGGGATGGGCTCCAATGTTGCCATCATCCAAACCAGAACAAGTGGACCTTTGTTTGTTGTGTTTTGCTGAAATCTCAGTGAATACCTTCCTCAAAAGCAGGGAGGAAATGACAATGAGGCTCAGCTGTTGCACCATTGCTGAGGACACGCTAAAGCCAGTCAAGAATAGAGCCGTAATCAAACAAACATGGAGTGATAATAGTGTAAGAAACTAAAATAGTCATTGAGGTATTACCCGGCTATTTCAGATGTTTACATTACATTCTCTGAAGTTGGCATCACACCAAGCTGCAATGCATGGCGTCACATGGGAGAACAGCTGTTACAGGATTACTTCTTTCTAGGATAGCATCTGCATGATTGCTTTTTGCCAATGAAATTGCCGGAACAAACATATTCAAATACAATGCCGAACTTGGAGAAAGAAAACAAAAACAAAAAAACACTTGCCTTTCAAATGCAATAAATCAGTAACACTGTGCAAACCCTCATATGGTCAGGGAGACTGAGAGAGGGGGAGAGCACTGATGAGGGCAATGCTAAGCTTTAACAAAACACTTGTCCTCAGGGAATAGGTGTAAGTTGGTTGGCAGGGGGATATAGTGAAGGACACACACCCTCTCAAAGGCATTACGATTGGACAGGGCTGATGACTGGGGGAGAGTGATGTTCTCCAGCTTCTCCCATTAGTGAAACCAACAAACACAATGGTGTGGTTGTTATTCTTTTGCCATAATCAGAAAGGGCTCCGTGTGTGGGCAGTGTAGTGGGGAGGAGGAGAAGTCGAGTTTGTCCTATTCCCCCCCCCCCCCCCCTCTTATTTGCATGACTTGAGCAAATTAAATGATGCAATATGGCTTTTTGTCGCAACACAAAGTAAGATACCACCCAGCCACTGAATAATTCGAGGAATAGTTTACAGGAGAACGGCTCGGTGAGGATCCAGCGGAATCAGCTACACAAGTTTTGGCGCATACAGTCGCTTTTTATTGCCTTTACCCCACCGGAAACAAAATGAGCATATGCTTTTTTTAAATTCTTGCTTACATGACATTGTCGCACTCATTGTATCACTTCGGTCGATGCCATAACGGCCACGACTTTTTTCGTGAAAGCGCGAGCACGGTACATTTCGTGGAACGTTTCCCTTAACAACTTCCTGTGCGTCAATAAGACGACAAGTAAACAGTTCGTTATCAGCTGCCAAGCTCCGGTAAAAACGTGTCGACGGTTCACCACCGGGCTCCTACCTTTTCGGGTGAACGGTTCAACAGTGCGGCTATAGTGGGCTGTCCCTCTCTCCTGACAGTTAAAGCGGACTGTAGCGAGAAGTAACGTAAATCGGCTGTGCGCATTGCACCGCTAAATTAATGTTGCACCAGACTGTGTAAAGCCCAGTAAACAAAATAAAAAAAATAAATCCTCAAAACATGGAAAAATAACTTTCAGACCAGGTAAGTAAAACAAACAGGTAAACCCTTACAGAAAGGATATACGAGCAAAATAAGTTGATATGAGGAGATATTAAAGGGATATAGCGATATCATACGAGATTATAAACGGGATAACATAACAGTAGCCTACAGACATAACGTGTATTTCACAAACAAGGACTTTACAGGGCGAACCTTTAGGTGATATTAAAAAACACAAAGGTATGGTCAGGTCACCTGCCATGCAACCACACACACACACACACACACACCCCCACACACACACACACACTTTAGCAGTGATAAATCAAGACTTTTTCATCGGGACACTCAGAGGTAGCCCAGGGCTATTTTCCCTGACCATCCCCAAATTCAGCTGCCGGCAACAAGAGCTAGAATGACAATACAAAAGCGCTGTGGATGAAAAGCATCTCCTCGGGCGTTTAAGCAGTAAAACCCCAGTCCCTTAATTTGAAAATGCAGCGTGGTGGACGGACAGTAACCTACCCTGGCATCCCTGCGGTGCAGGATCTGATAGGCGGCTCTCCTGGTGGGACAGCAGGACACACGAGGATACAACCTGTGGCAAACTTCTCCGCTGCTGCTGCTGCCGTCAAGCAACACTTTTCGCTCCCTTTTCTTCAGCCGCTTGGGCAAGCTTCCGTCGTAACATCTTCTTCTCCTGGGGCTAATTTCTCCCCTTTCGCCAAACTTTGCGTCCCCACATTCCCACACGCTGACCGCGATGGACAGGACGAGCACAAATTGCAGATGCTTCATAGTTACAAAAAAAAAAAGAAAATTCACAAAAATGTAGAAATGCAATAAAAGAACACCTCAAAGTGTGGTCCCCTTTTCTAAAATAGGAGTGGGTTTAGCCTGCAATGCAGCCTATGTATTTATTTATTTTGGGCTATATTTATCAAAGCAGCAGAAGCCAATTACTACCAGAAAATTACAAATATGCTGTTAATCAGAACAGGTGTCCTAAATGTGACTCACTGCTATAAAGAAGGCTGTTTAAATAATAATTGTTGTTGCTTCTGCTTCGGCTATATAGTACAACTAAAATAAAACAAAAGCTAAGTAAAATAAAAGCAAAACAATAATAATTTATCCTGATGAAATCAAAAAGTCAAAACCCCAACTGCAAAAGACGTTCCTTTAGGTGTAAATCCTTTTAAGCACAACACGGCGGTTTGTGCATGCACAGGGTCAAAAAAAAAAACATAGAAGACATAAAAGTTGTCTCTCACTAAAGTCCTCAGACCGCTCACATGTTTTCCCGTGCTCTATCCTCCTTCTTTTTAACCAGCGCGCGAGAAGAGGAGCGAGCGCGATGACGTATGACTTCGCGGGTGCGCGCATGTGGCCACAGTCGCGTCCACGTCGAGATAAACAGTTACCTGCTCGAGCAGAGGACGGAGAGTGGAAGAAGTGGGAGACGCACTGTTGGGCTCCATCGACTTAAACAGTAAAGACAACTATTACTTATGTCTGTTTCTGCCTTAAATGTGTGATTTAAAATACAATATACAAAAATATAACCACTTATTTTTGATTGGTAACTGTTCAGTTCTCTAATGATACAGTAGGCTAATAACCTATAGATTGCACTGCCCATTCCCAGGATTTACATTAGCCTATTATGTTGGACTTTTACTTTCTGTAAGATTTTGAAAGCAGGGCTTTTACTAATGGAGTATTTTGGTATTGGTAAATGTACAATAATCTAAATACATGATATTCCACTGCTGTCCATATGTTGGAGTAACTTCATGGCCATGAGCCAAGTCTTTAAAATATTTGAAAAATGAGCCATACTTTCTTTGTTTTTGTTCTCAAACAACTGAGCTTATGAAAGAGGCATGGGCATTTCTGTAAGACAGTAACATTATGAAAATTGTGTATATTATGTTATATCACAAACTGTGTCACGGGTGTTTGACTTTGTTTCTAAATATGATCTAAAAGGTTTATTCTGCTAGCCGCAGAATGTAGAATTACATGTGTTAGGCAGTGGAAAATCAGCTACATTGTGAATCAATCGCGTTGACCTGATGCACAGCAATCTGTTGCCCTATGCACATACTGTAAGGCATCTTAATTTGGCTCCTGATAATACCAGATCAAATGTGGGACAAATCCTCTTTCATTCTCCTCATCAAAAAAAAATCACACGCTTACGATCCGAAAGGGAATGTCCAACCATGGCAATTACAGGAGAAACAACAGCCCCCCCCCCTTCTTTGGATACACAGAGAATCTGAAATCAGTGACATTAGCGGCACCTGTTCTTACTTGGGGGTCTCTGGCACTCACCAGAGCCCCAGCTCAGCTTATCTACAGGAATCCAGGAGGGGTTGGTTTGATTGTGGGCAATTATGGAAATGACTGTGTGTGCTATGAAGCCGTATAGCAGACTCTGCCAGATCTGACCCCCCACCCTCAACATTCTTTATGTTACCCAACTGGAGACATTTCAGGACCAAGTTTAGCTAAAGTGCTACTGCAGTGTTCTGGATGTAAAGGAGGGAAGGGACAAGACCACGTGCATAGAATGAATGTGCCACCACCAACACCAGAGCTCCATGCAGATAAAAAGAATATAACTGCATTGTCGAACAGCGTGAAAACATGTGTGATGCAGCTGTGGAGCAAAGAGGAGTACATCTGCTGGGAGAGATAGACCATTAGAGAGAATCACAGTTTGACAGACCACAGCTTTAAACTGTCAGAGTCCGAGTGTGGCACAGGCTCAGAGCAGACACACACACGCACACACACACACACACACACACACACACACATACGTGCATACACAAGAAGAAATAAGCAAACAGCTTTATAAACTGTCTTCTTTTGCAATACTTTCTCTCCAAAACAATCAAATCTAATTTGCTTGTATCACATTTATTGCATCACAGCACTTCAGGTGTGGGGATGCATTTTAAAGCTCACTTTGCTTTAATTGGGATCATGCTTGTGACTCAATATTGATTTCCTGAAAACATTAACAAGGAAAGAAACCTTGAAAAGATATACCACCTGCTTTGTTCTTTTACTTCTGCAGGGTCAGTGGGGGAATTTTCATGCACTCAGAGAGGATATCCCAGAGGAAGATGGTTAGGTTTGCGTGTGACCACATAAGGATCAACAACATGAGTCTGGAGCTCTGCAAGCGCTCATTGCCGCCTCCACTGTTTCCCAGACTGAGGAGATGTTGAAAGTTTACTCTGTTCTCTCTGTCCATTCTGTTTCTGCATTGTTTGCTTCATAACTCACTAACACAATCATGAGCATACACAACAGCACTGATGACAGGGCTGAGGGCTCTATTTGAGCTTTTTTCAATTTTTCCATTCCGAGCAGGCGAAACCACTGCCTCACACTACACAGTTCATAAGTCCACCTAAAGTTGTCTCTGAGTGTTGTCAGAGGGGGCCAGCACTTAGCTGTTGGTCCATAAGAATTCATCAGTAGAGCTGCAAGATATGAGGGATTTTTAGCCATAATTTGACTCAAGAACAGAAGTTTTCCAATGTAAAATAAATGGTACTGTCTATTTTAAAGGCATGTTTTTAATATTTTTGAATCAAAAATGCAACCTTTGTCTGTGACAATTATTTTTTCAAGTGATTATCTTTTTAACTTACGGATGCCAATGTTGGTCTTTCTGTTGGTCTACTTTGGTAGAAATATCTCAATAATAATGTGAATGATTACCATGAAATTTGGTACATACAATTATGGTCCTCAGAGGATGAATCCTAATGACTTTTTTGATCCCCAGACATCTCCTCTCGCACCATCATGGGTTTCACAATTGTGGCTTTGAGTGGAATCTCTTAACAACGGAAGGATGGATTGTAATGAAATTTGGTACACATGTTCATGTTCCTTTCCGAATGAATTGTCATCACTCCAATCAGCAAATGTTAGCATGCTACGTGTTCCTAAGATGGTGAACATGGTAAGCGTTATACCTGCCTAATATCAACATGTTAACCTTATAATTGTGAGCATGTTAGCATTTAGCTAAAACCACAGTATCGGAGCACATGCAATGCAGTATACATGTAATGTAGCATTGTAGGGTTTTCTCACCGCTAACATGAAATCATTAACTTTAGCCCAACAGCAGTTCGAGGATGTGTGTATGTTTCTTTCATGGCTTCCATCCCTCACCTTGCAGCACACAGCAGCATTGTGTTATTCTCACACCTTCTTTAATGGCTCAGCTTTGGCAATCACAAACCCGAAGGCATATAGAACTCAGAAAGTGTTCACAATGTCATTAATAGTCCTGACAACAGCTTAATGAGCCTCGGCCATCTGTTTATGAAAGCTTCAGGGAAAAGCAAGAGAGAAACAAGAAAATCAGATCCAGTAGCGATTTCCAGCTGTGTGAGCGCGCCTGATTTCCACTTGAACATTTCTAAACATATGAGGACATTTTAAGTGTAGTGACTTATGCAGCGTCATCTACAGTGAGTCAGTGACTGAGCCTGGGCTGTCTGCCCGGTATCAACAGCCCCTAAATCACTGGCTTCAACCATCGGACCACACTACCTCGCCTTTAGCTTCCTCGCCCCTCCTTCCTCTGTACCACCCTGGAGTGTCCTTAGGACTTGTTTGGCTAGAGTATACACATGGCATGAGTAACTGAAGCCACCCAGGGCTTCCTGGCGCGGTGGCACGAGACACATACCGGGTTGCACAAGTCGGGAAGACGTAGTGTCCCGTCGCTGTTTACTCGATACTCGATGCCTGATGCATACAAATACACACAAATACAGCGACATCGCTCCAGGGAGATAAATAGGCTACAGCAGCATTGGCTTCAGATGGATGCCGTTCCAGATGTGCAGGGACAGTGACGCTTTAGATTCCAACTCAGGGAGCTTAGAAGTGGTCATTTTACCTCTCAAGGGTCTCAAATCTCTCACTTCACTTTGATCATGTCTTTTCTGATCTTAAAGCAAAAAGGAAGACAAGGACTGAAGTGACCATAGCTTGGTCCTCTGTGTGCTTGGCTAATTGCCTCTTTAGCCTGCTTTGAAAGGGACTGCTTCCATTTCCTCCCTGTTTCAGTTTCTTTGGTCCTCTCTGAACCCTATAATAGAGAATAGCACAATCCCCCAAAGGCAAGAAAGAGGTTAATGTGTGGATTGATGACTCTTTGCGGCCGCTTGTTTGTAAATGTTTCCATCGGGGGTTAAAAGATCCCAAAGTAGTACCATGTTGGGCACCGTACATATGTGTGCAAGTTGCAGAATCATTACGTTCTAGAATCACTGAGCTGCAAATTAATTTGGTGGGATGGGATGGGGGCGGACAGGCGAATGGTGGTAAGTGTAGTCTGGTGTGGGCAGCAATGATGGTGGTCCGTGACTGTCAATGCTCTCTCCCGTCTTTCCCTCCCTTTACTCCCTCATTCCCAGTTCCTCGCCATCTGTTCCTGCTTGGCCTCTCAGGCTCTCCATCAGGTAGGCCTAAGCTATTGAGTGTTCCTCTCGTCTCATGGCATCCGAATAAGTCATGTTGAGGAGTGTGTGTGTGTGTGTGCATGTGTGTGTGTGTGCACCTGCAAGACTGTGTGTTTTTTAAAAAAATGTGCTGTCTAAAACGTTTGATAAATGAGGGCCCACCAATATCAATAGCTGGCTATCAACTTGCCAAGTGAAAATATTTAGCGTACAACACGCACTCACTTTTCTGTTATCCTTTTAAATACAGACAGGTAAGAAGTACAGGTGGTATTGAATGGCATGACATTCTGATTCCGTTTTTTTCTCATTACACAGATTATTTCGACACCGTTTCAAATCCAAGCAGTGTCACTCCCTTTGTAAGCAATATCTGCCTTTATTAAGAACCATGCCAGTAAAATTGTGCCCCAAATACTTTGATCGCTCGGTGGATATGGAAGGCATCAATTCTCACTCTAAACTTGTACATTTCATCTGAGGAGTCTTGCCTGCAGTGTTGCTTTACTGCCTTGTACTGTAAATTGAACTTGTATCATTCAAACAAAAAGGCCTACAGATAGATTAATCAATTCCATCCTTATTTAGATTGAGCAAATGGAAAGTATTTTACTTCCATTATTTGGAAAAGTAGCTCTCAAGGTGGTCCTCAGCTTGAGTTTGGAGGGATGATTGGTATGATAGTGCAGTGCTGTATGAGTTTTCTCAACAGTGGACATTATATGGTTTTCCCAGGGCTTGTGGTCAATTGCGAAATCCCGGTTTACACAGCCTCTTTACGTTGGGATCGTTTTACAACAGAA